AATAGAACCATAAGAGAAGATACCTGCTTCTTCATTTGCAAATTCGCATCGGCTTTACTGTCATAGTTATTGGATTCAATATCCACATTCAGATCAACTTCCACTTCCCCAGTGGTGGGTTTAACTCTTACCTATTGAAATTAAAAGGGTATGGTTCAAATTCATCAAGAACAAAAAGGAATCAAAGAAAATGCTCACCTCGTCACATCGCCCCTCAAATTCATAGGGCCTCCAGCGTGGTCTAAGAGGATATTGCAACACATATAACTGGAAATAGATGACAGTCGAGTTCAAATTTCAAAACTAGTTAAATGTAAAGAGGGAAAAAAACAATGGTCCATAGTATGAATAAGCAAGAAACGAAGACTAACTTTCGTATTGATATCAACAGAAGGAGTAAACAGAACGTCGATTTCACGAACCACCATATCTTCAGAAGCATCCTCTTCCATTGGATCATCATCCTCCACCATTGTCTCCTCTTCAACTTCCAACTTAGTTTCAACATCCATTTTATCAACTCCATTAGGAAGTGAAGCTTCGACTTTAGGTTTTACTTCAACTTCTTCGCCTTCTTCCTTCTTCTCCCCAATTAGAGCATCTGGCTCTGCAACTTCCGGCTTCGAAACGGGAGTTTCAGGTTCCAACTTCGTTGGCGGCTGTTGGGGCTCCGGTTTCGGAACTACTTCCGATTTCGGCTTCGGCTTGAATTTAGAGGTCTTCGGTGCAAATCTGGAGGTTCGCGATGGTACCTGGCTCGGTTCGTCTAGGTCGTCCAGGTCCATCCTGAAGGCTTCGGCGCGTTCCTCTCTTGGGGTGAATGAACAGCGAGAAGCTTCTGCAACTGTTGAAGTTCTCGAACTCGAAAAAAACCGATGAAGGTCAGGTTTTTTCTTCTAATATGCAATCAATCAGGCTCTCCAGCAACTGCTCCGGCGAAGAACAATAACTTCGTCTTCTACCCCCTAATTTTTCCCTAAACTCTTTTAGGTTTATTTCAGGTTTTTTTAATGTATTTCTTAAAAAATTAACAATAAAATATGTTTTTAATTTTATTTATTTATTTCATACATATTAATTTTTTTAACTTTATTAATAAAATAAATTTTCAAATTCATATCATATTTAAATTTACAGACTAATATTATTTAAATCGTCCTCTAATAAATATAGAGATCAAGTAAATTGTTACGTTCGAATTAATTAAAAACATTATTATAAAAATTCATCTATATATATATTAAAGATAAGATATAATTATAATGTTTATATTTTTTTTATCTACGATTCAACCTACGTGAAATATGTGTCATTGATAAAGAGATAATTTTCTATTTTAAATATGGTAAAAAAAAATAATAACAATAATTTTAGAATAAAAATATAATATATAGGTAAACATTAAATTGTACACGATTTAAACCTTCCCAATTTAAAATTATATAAGTTACATAATTTAAAAAACATAATATAATATATTTCAAATTTAAAAAATATATAATCATTAATTTTTTTATTTACTAAAAAGTATTTTTATAATTTTGATTTTAAATTATATTAATTTAGTTACTAAAAAATATTTTTTATAATTTTGATTTTTTACCTTAGGTTCATTCTCACTAATTTTTACCAAAAAGAAGGTAAAATCCTCAAAGAAAAAATTAAATTACGGCCGCATATTTTTAACATTTATATTAGTTTTAACAAATTCGTCTGTATGAATCAAAATAAAAAAAAGTTCCAACACTGTGTGTTTGTTCATGCATAGAGGATCTTTTATTTGTTTCGAAATGTAGCCGAAATCAATCTACTTTTTCATTAAACAAATATGAGGGTCTGGAACTGAACGATCGGACGAGAGAGGGGAAAAAGAGAAGCAAAGCAAGACCCGACCCACGATGAGAACACTCAAAATCAAAGATTATTTCTTTTTCCCTTTGCGTCGTTTTCAAAATTGAATGCAATTCATTTGAATTAAAGGAACACTTTGCATTTGGCCTTCTTATCCTTTTCCAATATTTGCAAAGGAAGGATCAACAAGAAATCACGTTGATTCATGCTATATACGTGTAGGAGGAGATATCAAGCGATAGACTTTGGGTCCCAAGACACCCAAAAAGTGATATTCGTTTAAATGTAGAATCATCCACTTAATTACGATTCTAAACATGATTGATTAATCTGTTCGTACGTATTTCTACTTAATTTTATTAAAAAAAAATTAGTTCAAAATTACAAACAACAATTTATCGGGTTTTTTTTCGTAGAGGGTTTTCTTCGTCTAGTACCTCGTGGATGTCATCTCAAGCTATCGTCATTTGTCTCTTCGTTTGTCCTCCTCTGATTTCTTGTCTCCTCGTTTTTATATCAATTGCGACTGAAGATGGTACTGTTAGTTCCATCGTTCCATCTAATATTTAATATGTTACTAGTCTTACTTTAAATCTCGTATTTATTTTATACCAGACCAACGATAACAATATCTAAAGGTGTAACAACTTAAGCCTACTGCTAGGAGATATTGCTCGCTTTGACCCGTTACATATTGTCATCAACCTCACAGTTTTAAACGTGCCTACTTTTGAGTGGATCTAGCCCTACTTCAACTGGTGCCTCGCACCATCGCGTGACTGACTTTGATACTATTTGTAACAACGCAAGTTCACCGCTAACAAATATTAACCGCTTTGACCCGTTATATATCGTCATTAGCCTCACATTTTTAAAACGCATCTAACATGGGCTTCTGTCTTCGGCGGGTCACCTTTCCAAGACTGAGAAGAACATCTGAGCAAGGGAAAGGGCAGTGCGCCTAGTGCAAATGGCTTGATTTTTTCATGATATACCAATCAGACAGAATGGAGGGCCCCCTTACATGATTGATATAATCACTACGTAGTGGTGGGGTTGATGCGAGAGAGGCATGAGTGCAGTTCGATCTTGTGGTGTATTCGTTTGCAGTGAGCAGGGCTTCTCGTTGATTACTTTGCCTCCGCTCGAGGGAAAGGTCTCCATTCCTACGGCGGGTTTGTCAACGAATGCGTCTCGGGTCGGGAACTTGATCCCCCAAAAAGGAAGGGGTCTCTTTCCTCCCCTGATGATAGAGGGCCAATTCTCGTTGCACAAGACGGTGCCGTCTCACTTCGAGTGCCTTCCTTCGTAGTCAAAGAATGATTCATTCCTCTCTCTAACCGATATGAGATCTCACATAAGATAATTGGAAAATGTTGTACACAAAAGAACTTTATGTTTCGGGTGAACTCAAAGTACTATATGTTGCAGCTTTAAGTGTGGATTTGTAGTACTTTCGTTTGAGTCACTCGCCCTCTATCTTTTATCTGTGACATTTTCGTTTAAGTCGTGTGTTCACGTTTCGTTTATAGTTTTTAGTGTATACAAAAGTTTTAAGATCTGATTACAGCGATGGTAAACTAGCAAAATTATATGGACACGTGCTTAATAATTCTCCACTGTGTACCTCTGACTGTACTTGATTTGTTCTATGACTTCAGGTCGAGCACAATAAAATTTTAAAATATACCATTTTAGAGTCTCGGTGTTTAACTAACACGCTTAGTGAATTATTTAATTTAAAATTTTAAAAATCCATAATTAAAATAAAATAGACATGCCTTTAAAAGTTTAAAATAACAGAAATATTAAACATTTTAATATATGAATGTAATTCAACGAATAATAATAATACATCAATTATTATTATTTTAAAAGTGAATAATTACAAAGTCACTTCAAATTGGGGCAGTAATCCCATGCAGCCGAGTGTACGGGAAATAGTAGAGAGGCGTGCATACAAAAGTAGGGTAGGCGAAAATCCCAAGTCAATACAAAAGCAGTTTGACTTTTAAAGATTAAAGAAAAGCAAAGCAGCCGGTCCAGAGTCCCAAACCGGTGAGCTGTCCGTTTGGACAATTCCAAAATCAAAATACGACACGGCACTAAACGACAACGACAACCAAGTACCGGCAACCGGCAACTTACGCGGTAATTCCTCAGACCTAACTCAGTGTCGTATAACCCTTGCTAACCTTTCGACATCACAATTTTAAATTCGGTTAAATTATCAGATAATTCCTAAATTTTATTATGCATTTATAGTTAAATAATTTCATTTTTAACTTCTTTTTTTTCCCCTTTTTTAGATTTACGTGTAGAATTTGATAATCTATTAAATAATTAAAAAAAAATTTAAAATCTATAATATAAAAATAGTTGAGGAATATTTCATTTAAAGTTAATTTATAACAATTTAATCCGTCAATCATAAATGATTTAATTTTCATATTTTATAGACATATTTATCTAACCGATATTGTCTTTTTTAGACTTCATCACTAATTATACCTTTTCAAGCTTCTGTTTAAAGTTTTTAAAACGCATCTGTCACAGTCATGCATGTCCAAGGTGTGTTGTCAATTGCTGCATGACAGATATTCTGATCTTGCTTGCCTAGGACATGTTGTCCACGGTTGCATGCCTGTTCCAACCCCTTTTTACATACTTTCATCCTTTACCATTTTATATTGGGTCAGTACAAGAGTGTATGATCGTTTACCAAAATCATGTTTACACCTGTTAAAATACCCCAAAATGTACTATAGGGGAATATGATTAGTTGTCAACTTCTCCCTACCTAGTTATATGTAGTAAGCTGTTGTTGCTGACTTTTGCTTACATTCCCATATAACACAAATTTCAATCTCTCAGATCTTGCTTTCAAAACTCTCTCGAAATCTCTCTGCCCCAGTTAATGAGAGGTTTCCACAGCAATGATTTGTTCTCCTTATGTGGGATCCCACGTTACACGGTCTTTTATTACATAATTAAATTATTATAAAAATAAACTTAATAGTTAAATAGTTAAAAGTTTGGGATAAAAAATGTGTTTTTTATCCTTATATAATTAAAAAAATTATCCTATGATTAGACAATTTAGCATTTAAATTATGTTTTTTTCGAAAATTTGGTCTCTCTCTTTGTCTTTTTTTACCCAAAAGTCAACACAAAGGACTTCAAATCAAGCTTTCTCCATATTCTCAGTACAAACTATATTTTATTTTATTTTTATTTTTCATTTTTATCGTCGTCTACCTCTGATCTTCTGGTTTTGCTCTGTATTATAAGTTATACGTTTATGGAGATAAGTTTTAGAGAACCCCAGATGGTATATTTCATTTACAACTTGCAAAGAACTTTTGATCATTTAGTTTGAGTTTACTCGCCGGAGACTGGTTTTCCGGCCGCCGTGGTATCAGTGGCTCCTTCGGCTTCCGCCGTCTCCCATTAGATTTGATCTTTTTTCCCCCTTTCATTTTAATGGGTTTTGAGTTTATGGGTATGAAATAAAGAAGGTTGACTGGTAGATGAGGCAGAAAAGATCGATAAAAACCTAGAAAAACAATCCCGCCGCCGGCGAATACTCGAGATGCCGACGGATTTAGAAACTTCCGGTGAAGCCAGTATCTCCTCCACTGGAAATCAGCCTCCGCCGCCCAAATCCGCCGTGAAAAAGAAGCGTAATTTACCAGGAATGCCAGGTGAAAACCGCTAATTTCGTCGTGAAATTTGGATTTTTTGTTTTTTGTTTTTTTTCCATTTAAATTTGAATGATTTTGTGAAACAGATCCGGAAGCAGAGGTAATTGCTCTGTCACCGGAAACCCTTTTGGCCACGAATCGATTTGTGTGTGAAATCTGCAACAAAGGGTTTCAAAGAGATCAGAATCTGCAACTACACCGGCGAGGTCATAATCTTCCATGGAAACTCCGGCAACGAACGAGCAAAGAGGTGAAAAAGAAAGTGTATGTCTGCCCAGAGCCGTCGTGCGTCCACCACCATCCGTCGAGAGCCCTCGGCGATCTCACCGGAATAAAGAAGCATTTCTGCCGGAAACACAGCGAGAAGAAGTGGAAGTGCGACCGGTGCTCCAAGAAATACGCAGTCAAGTCGGATTGGAAAGCCCATTCCAAAATTTGTGGCACCAGAGAGTACAGATGTGACTGTGAAACTGTGTTTTCAAGGTCAAATTTCAAAATTAATTTATGGGGTTTGTTTGTTTGGTCAATTCCTTTAATGGGTCTTTTGAATTTCGATTTCGATTTTCTTTTTTTTTGTACTTTTGTAGAAGAGATAGTTTCATCACTCACAGAGCTTTCTGTGATGCGTTGACGAAGGAGGCCGCCGTTACTCTGTCTCCGGCGACGGCGGAGATTCCTAATTTGGAGTCCGATCCCCAAGTTCAGCCACCGAGTTGTTCGTCTCCGCCGCCTACTGCTGCTTCTCTTTCCGCCACTACCGCCAGCGCCGCCGCCCCAGTCCCTCCTCCATCATCCACTGAAGCGATATCTTCAATCTCGTCCATTCAGAAAAAAGGTAAATACAATTATGTTTAAATCATGAATTTTAATTTTAATTTACTTACTATTGAAGTTTTTTCATTAAAATAAATAAAAAAATTAATTAGTATGATAATTAGTGGATAAAAAATGAATGTAAATATTTTTAAAAAATATTTTAACATGAAATGAAATAAATGGTAAAGATAATAATAAATAATTTCATAAAACACTTTTTAAAATAATATTTTCATAATTGAAAAGGATTTTTTTTTTGGAAATAAATTCAGTGACCCTTTTGGTTTAAAACTCCATTTTTAATCCATTTCAGCCTCGCCGGGAAATCCTCCGCCGCCGCTAGTAGAGGCACCAGGCAAAACGACCGTACCTAGCAACTCCAGCAGCAGCAACGCGACAGTATTGGCTAGCTTGTTTGCTTCATCCGCCGCATCACTGAGCTTACAGCCACCGCAGCAGCCCGGATTTTGCGACTTATTACGAGCCATGGCGCGACCCGATCGGGAGGCCGAAATAACACCGCCGTTGGTTTTTGAACCACTTTCTCTATGTCTGTCGAACCACAGCGAATGGTCGCTTTTCGGAGCCGGAATCCAAGAAAGTCGCCCATACGTGCCGCCAACGCCACCGGCCATGTCCGCCACTGGACTCCTGCAGAAGGCCGCTCAAATGGGTGCTGCTGCAGCGGCCAGCACATCAGTGTTTCGTGGATTTAGTTTGTCGTCTTCCTCTTCTTCTGCACAACAGGGGAGTTTATAATTAGTGGAAGAAAAGGCAACCCTCCGCCGCGCCGGTGGCAGTGGTGGGCAAAATGCGGCGTCAGATTGTAAAACAACTATGAAATCAGATCTGTTAGAAAATTGAATTTCATCTGTTCTTCCTTTCAAGTTAAGCTCTCATAACCTACCATTTCAAGTTTTTAACAAGTTTATATATTTTCAAATTTATATAATTTTTTCTAGTTTAACGTTTGAAGGTTCAAATCCACTGTAAATCTTTGTTGGATGATGAAAGTCCCACATAAGCTAATTTAGGTAACGATAATGTGTTTATAATCAAGGAATACTCTCTCCATTGACGCCTTTTGAGAAGCCCAAACCAAAAGCTACGAAAGTTTATACTCAAAGTGGACAGTATCATACCATTGTGGAGAGTCGTGTTCATCTAACATGGTATCAAAGTCATGCCCTAAACTTAGTCGTGCCAATAGATATTATATGATCATAATCAATGAACACCAAAAGAAAAGGAGGAGTCGAACCTTCAAAAAGTCTACATCTGCTAATTTAGGGAATGATCATATTATGATTCATAATCAATGAAAGTCTACGTCGGGATCATGATTTTATATTTGGTAAATGCGACTTCAAAAGAAAAGGAGTCGAGTCTTGATGTCCACATCGGCTAATTTAGGGAATGATCGTCACAGGGGCTAGTTTAGAAAATGTCCATGAATTTATAATCTATGAATACTCTCTTCATCCAAAGTGGACAATATCATACAATTACGAGAGTTCGTGTTCGTCTAACAATCTTTACTATAATAATATATAGTAAATTATAAATCATCATCATAACTATCACCAGCTAAATAAATATGCACTCGTTGTCATCTGTCATTAAAAAAAAAAAACTTTGCAAAATTATTATCTATTATTATTATTAAATATCTCAAGTTGGCCTTAAAAAAATAATTTAGGAGCGGAGTATTAATTTAAATTTAAAATCATCAATTGCATTTATTTATTTATTTCTTTATTTTATTTCATTTTTCGAAATTATATGTGAACCCTACACATAAAACCGGTGGAGGTTTTGAATTGGCGCTCGTCATCCATTTCGAGTTCCTAGGGTTTATTCTCGTTCAATTACGTGCAGAATTTTCTTCTCAGGCGACGGATTTTCCTTATTAGGCGCTAATTTTGCTAACCTTCAGTTGATGCATTGTCCTACATCTTCGCCCCGCACTTCATATTAACTTCAACCATTAACTCGCTGTCTCATCGATTGTTTACGTAAACCGGTACATTTTTTCTTTAGATCATTGTTTTCCCTCCTATTTTCATGGTGTAAACTTGTGCACTTTCTCGAAATTGTGTGCTATGGTCGAGAGATACGCAGGAGATAGGCACAGTTGAAATCTCTGATTGTTTTTCTGTTTAATGTTATAAACCCTATTCAAGCGAATTGATGAATTTGTGGCGTTAATCGTTAGAGAAGAACATAATATACTGCACCAGGGATTATTTCTTGTTGTTGTTTTATGGCGATGCTGATACTGATTAGCATTGGATTAATTTTTCAGTCAGCCTACAAATATTAACCATATTGCGTAGCTCACTTCATCTCACTTGTTGCAGGTATGCTTTTGGTATGACTAATTGATTCTATTTTCCAAATCAGGTTTGTTTCAGCTGCCTTCTGTGGACGAATCTCAGATTGAGAGTTTGTTAGTTTGGTTGGTTGTAGATGAATTCGGAGTGATGAAACTTTACAATCTGTATGGTATTATAGGTTCTACGTTGATTGAGAGAGTTTCTGAATCAAAGGAATTTTCTAAAAAGGACTAAGATGCCAACAGGATCTGTTTTGAGGCTTAATACTATTATATACTCTGGTGTTCAGAAAGCCACAGCTGCTGGACATCAAAGTGGTCTGTGCTATATAAACAATTTGCTGCTTGGACGAGGGGAATTATTGACCAAGGATTACGGGTTGTCTCATTCCTTGCCATATTCCACATTCGCAATATCAAACACCTTTAGTTTTTCACCAAGATTCCAGTCCAAAAGAAAATCCATGGCTGCTTATTGTGCTAAATCTGTTTTTGGAGATGTCTCTGTTGAAAATTTAATCACAAACCGTGGAAATGCTTTAGAGCTTGCAACACCTGTGGGAGTGTTCAACCATAGAAATCATAGGAATTTTCAGAATGCTCGTATGAGTTTGAGAAGGAAACAAGCATCCAATAATTGTCGAATCGCTCGGAGCAGTTCAATTGATGTAATGCATGTGAAAGGCACCTGCTTTCTGCAAGTTGGGTTAACCAATCTTCATGCCTTATCTTATGCATGCTATGTTGCTGGGACTGCTAATTCTCCAGCTTTTGACAGCAATTCTAGTGATGAACCGTTCACAAATTCAACCATTTTGTCAAGCAAGTATGTCTTCTATTTTTGTTCTTAGTTTGATTAATGTATATTATAAGACCTTTTAGTTGTATATTGGTATATCTTCTTTCAATCTAGTAGTCATAGTTAGTAATGTTGAAATCCTTTGGACTATCTTGGTAATATCATTTTCTGATGCATCATTGGACTTAGTCATGGTTCTATACCCTGATAATTACAGGCATGGTTCTATACCCTGATAATTACTGTCTTATGCTGAAGAGCGTTAATCCTAATGAGCCATGGTTGAATTGCCTACTTGAGAGTGTTTGTTGAGCCCATGTTCATGTATCCTCTCTGTACTACGTCACTATCTACTATTGGTATTGGTGTTGAGTTTTCTTCTTTCTTCTTTTGTTTTTCCACTTTCAATCTCTTTATCATTCTTTCTCCTGTGTTCTGTATAGTAAACCTTTACTTATGAAGCCATTTGATCTTCCACACTATTGTACCTTGACACGATTTTGTTTTGATCTCTAGAGGTTTATTAGGTGAGAGAACTTTGAAGCTGCTTTCAGGATCATGCTATCTTCCCCATCCAGCGAAAGAAGAGACAGGAGGAGAGGATGCTCATTTTATTTGTGTGGATGAACATGTGGTTGGTGTTGCGGATGGTGTAGGTGGTTGGGCTGATGTTGGTATTGATGCTGGGGAGTTTGCTCGTGAACTTATGTCAAATTCGATAAGTGCAATACAGGAGCAGCCTGGAGACTCTGTTGACCCTGCCAAGGTGTTAGAGAAAGCTCACTCAGACACTACAGCTAAGGGTTCTTCAACAGCCTGCATCATTTCTCTTTCTGAAAAGGTAACCTTTACTGCGAGTTCCATAACTTCCAAGGTATTCGTGTCCCATGCTTCCTAATATTATGTGGTGAAGGAATTTATCATAAGATCGCTTACCAAGTTTGAAATTAATTTGCTTTACTTTTGGCCTATAAATTACTTAATGCTGTGAAATGAAATTGTGTATAAATGTCACTCCAGAAGTATGTCCTCATTCAACTTGAAGCATATAAATTGTGTGTGTCAATGACATGATTTATCCCATTTCTTCTAACTACAAATTTGTGTAAAATTAGGAAACCAAAAGTATGCTATCATCCAATTTGAAGGTATCTCCTTTGTTGTGCCTTGATGCTTAGGATTGGTCAAGTTAACTCTTCTTATTCTCTTGGACGATGGAATTATCATAGTATATTTTTAGTGAAATTTGTTTACACTTTAATTTTGTAGTTTCAGGAAGTACTCATCACCTATTTCATTTTTTTTCCTTTTTTTTATAAAAAAATTAGTGTTATACTTTAAATCGCAGATGGCCCCGAAACATGAACAGCTATACATGGTTTACATGCAATGAAGAACTATAATAGATGTGTTAATGAAAAGTTTTGTTTCAATATCTCTACAGGGACTCCATGCTATTAATCTGGGGGATAGTGGATTCATAGTTATAAGAGATGGAAGCACTATTTTCAGATCTCCCGCTCAGCAGTATGGCTTCAATTTTCCTTATCAGTTGGAGAGCGGCAATGGTGCTGATTTACCGAGCTCTGGAGAGGTCTGTTAAATTTTTTTTTGAGTTCTCTTTTTTTGCACTTTTATGTTGCTTAAAACGTCAATATCTTTAGGAGGGATGGAGGTTCTAGGTTACTTTAAACTGAGATTATCTTATACCTTGTCTTTAAAAAGTTAAAATAGTCCTCATCTTCCTGCGACCAGGTGAGGGGCAGAGTTAAGGAAATTCATTACGAATGTGAACAGGCCGTTAGATCCAACCGTTTATCTCATTTTGGACCTTATTACTAATTTTCGAACTCAAAATGGCATGAAATACTTGAGCAATAAAATTGTGATACTATAGACGTATGGACCACTATTTCCCCTTGGTTAAATGATGGTATACATAATCTCTGTTTATGTAATGCACTGAAGAATCTTTTCTTTGATCCTTCTGGTCAGGTTTTCATGATACCCGTCGCACCGGGGGATATTATAGTTGCTGGAACGGATGGATTATTTGACAACCTATACAGCAATGAGATTTCAGCTGTTGTAGTTAATGCAGTTAGAGCTGGATTGGAACCCGGAGTAACTGCACAAAACATAGCTGCTTTGGCACGCAAAAGGGCCCTGGATAGGAACCGGCAGACCCCGTTTTCTGCTGCTGCTCAAGAGGCTGGTTATCGCTACTATGGTGGTAAGCTGGATGATATCACTGTTGTTGTGTCGTATATAACAAGTTCCACAGATACTCCTGTTTCTACACTTGAGCCTGATTCAAGTGTATTTTAGTGTCAATGGTGATTATGAGGATTGAAAATCTTTGGTCCCGCCGTTTCCAAACTCCGAACACTTCGTACTCCTGTGTTAGGAACAGCCTTTAGGCAAATGATAGATGTTACTCGAGATTTTCGAGTAACGTACACAGCAGAAGCAGTCCACTGATTTCTGCAATCTCTTCATGTTCTTGCTTCTAGTGAACAGACTCGATTAAGTCATTGTTTTTTGATGTGATAATAATATCCTGTCCTATCTATTATTCCTTTTAGTCTTCAAGGACAATGAGTTCTCACCATGGTATCCTTCACCTTTTTGCCCGGACGTTTGCGTCTTTATGAGCTTATGTTGGTCGGTCTTTTTGTCATCACAGCTTGATGTTATTCTTTTGAGAGTTATATTCATACTCATAGGTGAGTATCAGCGGACGATTTTAATGGTCACATAGGATCTCTCACCCTTCTATCCTTTTTAAGAGCAAAATCAAAAGGATTGAACTACCTACTCATTATTCAAAAGGAGACCGAGGTGAAAGAGAGTCCATTCATTAAATCAAAACCCTATAGGAAGTGGATCTACAAAAGTTGAGTCGAGTCGAGTAGAGACCCATCTTAGGAGGGTGTCAATTGGGGCTGTCAATTATACAAGTGGGTACCAAAAACCCTAAAAGATAAACAAATCAAATACCCACAATGTCTCATTCCAACTTGTCAAACAGGAAAAAGTAACCATATAGATATGCAGAAGGAATAATTTGAATTAATTAAATAAACAAAGTAAAAAAAAAAGAAAAAAAAAAAAAAAGAAATCGTTGACGAAAACGAGTATTATGCTAAGCTCGGTGTAAATAGATCCGCCGACCAATTTCAATATACCTATGGATTGACTTAACACGTAAATGACTTAATTCAATGATGATGCGTTAAAAAAACGTTAATTATGTTCTAAAACTTGAATTAAGTTAATTAAACAATGATGTGATTTACTTACTTGACAAACTGGAGCTAAGTTAACCTGATATTACATATAAATGATGGTGTTAAAGAATCACGAACCTTTACAACGGTATGATATAGTATACTTTTAAGTATAAAGTCTCGTGGATTTACTTTTGGTTTCTCAAAAAGTCTCGTACCAATAAAGATAATATTCCTTATAAATCCACTAATGTGGAACTCCACTCCTCCTCTTCCAACAACCTTCGGTGGGCAACTAGATAAGGCCAAATAACTCAGTACAAATATACTTTTTAAAAAACAATATATTAAATCACGTTTGTAATCCAAATCGCTTTATTTAGGTCACTTCATATTAAATTTAATTAATCTTTTTTTTTAAGATAAGATAACAAACTTCCATTAAAAATTTTGTTTTGTATTTTTTCTTTTTTTTTCTATTGGTTCGTCAAATAATCACATTACACTAAATCAACTAAAATTTTGTCCAATATACATAAAAATTGAGACAAAATATAATTTTGTCGCGTTATATTTATGTATTTATTAATAACTTTTTATAAAAAGAAAATATGTATTTGATTATTGTGTGGCTTAAATACTTTTTAATTTCAAAAGTTATCTCTACTGGTTTTCCCCATCAATCATGTCTCATGGAAATAAAGGTTTAATTTGAGTGGCCATTTGAAATGGTAAATTATATAATAAATAAATAAAAAGAAAGAATATTACACCAAATCAAATGTCTTTTTCAATAAATTTGATTAGTTTTTTTAAGAAGAAAAACTGAGCATATGACTTTTAAAAAATATAAAATAATTACAATAGTAAAGGAAGTAATTAAATAAATAAATAAATAAATAAATAAATATATATATATTAAAAATAATTAATCACCAATTGAATTACAATAGTAATTATTTTTTCTTTTCTTTTTTCCTCTCAATATTTGTTGATTTAAATATGTAATTAATTAATTAGAGTTAATTTTAGATGACTTTGGTGAAACACTTATTTTATTTTTTAAATACATATTATTTAATTGAAAGTAATGTACATCTTTTTTATATAGAAAATTTAAAATTTAAAATATATTATAAAAACAAATGAAAAAAAGTGCTTTTAATTAGTCTTAAAGCACTTTCCATCCTTCTCATCAAAAAGTTGTATCGAATTCATCTTTACACATTGATTGAAATGGGTGTAGTGATGCTAAGAGTTGTGCTGCTTTTCATTTTCCTTCCAAGTAATTTCTAATAGATATTGTCGGTTTTGACCTGTTATATATTGCTGAACTATAGTCCTATTCCGATCAAGCCACGTACTGTCTACTGACTGGTTCTGATATCATTATGTAACAGCTCAGCTCACTACTAGCACATATTGTCCTATTCCGATCATCCTCATAATGAATATTTAGTTTCCCCTCTAGCCGGTGTGGGATTTCACATTTCTACAGGTTGATTTTTACTCAACCAAGGAGAAAATAGTGTCGGCACGAATGCAATTTTGTCAAATTTGGCCATTGAAATGCTCACATAAACTAGAGGGTTTGACAAGAATTAACCGAGATCAGGAGTGTTCATATAATTCGAGAACTCGACCAGCCTGGACTATTCAACCCATGAATTATAATTTTTTCAGTTTGGGTTAGAGTTGAATATTTGAAAAACAAAAAATTCGAGTCTGTTCGCGAATTGACATCTTTTTTATCACGTTAACCAAACCAATCTGAAAATAGAGTTACAACTCAACTCAATCCTATCATACTATTATTATGAATATTAAGAATATTTGCAACCGATAATGGTAATGCGTCGTGACTTATAAATATTTAATATTTGAACTTTATGATATTTTGCTTATTAATATAATATGTTTTGTGGATAAGTAGGATTTTTAAATAATTAAAAAGAAGAACAACAATGATTTGAAAACTCAACTAAAAAACAGAGGTTGATTGGATAGTAAACTTTATTCGAGTTGCTCAAGTCACCGACCTAACCAACCCAACAAATTTTTTTACTAATTCAACCTAACCCGTGTACACCCTTAATCGACATCTCCAATATCATTTGTAAATATATATAAAAGAAATCACAATATTTTATGGATTTAAATCCCAAAACACATATTTACAAAATAATAATAATAAGAATAATAAATAAATAAAAATATTTTAATTAAAGTTGTGAAAGATTAACCCAATATTTAAAAAATGTATTTTTATAATTCTTTTTATCATAAAAACTCACTAAAAAAAACTATACTGAACACATTTTTTAATTAGTTGTTTTTTTTGGTTGAGGTGCTCAATAGAAAAAGTGATTTTATTTTAAAAAATTTATATAAGAAAAACCACGTTGGTTCTTTTCATATATTTTTAATTTATTAATATTGAACGTTGGTTATTTTTGTACGTAACTATTTTTTTATTGGGTGTGAAAAAGGTGGAGTAAGAAAGTTCAAACTTTTTATCTCGATCGATAACATATGTTTTAATTAAGACTTAATAAAAAAATATCTTATAGGTTTTGAAATAAATTAGAGCAAAAAAAAAAAAAAAACGATGAATGTGATGTCCATGCATGCACGTATTACATACATTAAGTCAGTTATGAGATTTCATGCATACTTATGACTGCCTGTCATGTTATCATAAAGGGAGATTATGACAATTACTCATTTAATACCACGATCACAAGGTGTTAAATGATATTTTTTAGTCTCTCCAATGCCTACAACATCCAGGGACCTCGTGGTTCGAATCTTCAAGAGCTTTCTAAACTCGTTAGTAATAACGGTTACAGAGACGAAGCACCTCAAGTCAGTTTTGACTAGTAAGTTTTATGCCGTATAAATCTTAGTTGAACATCAATAATTTTCCCGGAAGCATGGCCATAAAGATATTTTAGTGGATCCGCTTAACGTAGAAACTATTTGTATTTGACTTACATCCAATAAAATATCTTAGTTTTAGAATGTTTCTAACTTATAATTAGAGCCGATAATAAGACTAATTTTAGAGCTAATACTCACGGGAAGCAATAAAGTGAGAATTTTGTTACTTATAACGATGTATCTAAGAAAACGTTAGGTTGTGTGTTAATGTAACGTGATATAGTTATTATCTGCTAATGGACACTTAAAATGTCAAGCTTATCTTCAATAATTTTAGGAATTTATTCTCTCTCTTTACTAAAATAATCTTTACAAACTTTTACAGAACGCTATCTTAAAACTATGCTTATTTAGGGTTTTAGCCTCAAGTATTTTTTTTTTTAATTTCTTAGAAACAACTATTTCTAAAAATTAAGATAATTATATTGATTTTTTATTATTTTATTTTTTAAAATTTAAAATGTAAATTTTTTTAAAAACTTTTATTGTGTTTTGAATTCACGATAGAACTGAAATTCGTACATTTGAGTTACAATTTGTCCGTATTTAGGGGTGTTCATGGTACGATAATTCGACCAATATCCATACCGTAAATGTTAAGTTGAGTTACATTTTTTCGATTAGGTTGGATTGATTTTTTTGAAAAACTAAAAATTCGGTTTGGTTTGCAGGTCGACATATTGTGGGTCGAGGAGGATTACAACTCAATCCAACTCGACCTTTGACGCTTGTAATTGATGTTAGTGATGAATTGTGATGTGTAAATATTTAATATTTGAGCTTACAAGATTTTAATTATTAATGTAACATATCCTGTGGATAAGTAGAATTTTTTAAATAATTAAAAAAAAAACAACCCACAACCAAACCCGAACAAATAGAGTGCTAAATTAGATTGTGAACTTTATTCGAATTGTTCGGGTCACCAACATTTAGGTTGGTCTAAAAAAAATTCCAACCAAATCCAACCTAACTTTTACGTTTCCACCTACCTAAATTTCTTACGTATAAAATTATATTTATAAAAATATTAAAAGTTTAATTTTAGACCAAATTATCCATGATATTTAATTTTCATAGAGCATAAAAAAATCCAAAATCCAAAATAAAAAATATATTATAAACTCAATTATCAATGCCTTTTATGTTTTTTTTTTCCTTAAACTAAAAGTTTCTCTCTAACCTCTCTTGCTCGACTTCGAGGCTCAACACCGTACTCGACTTCGGTTCATACACGAACAAAAGAATAGGGGAACAACTTCGGCTAGCTTCGGCTCGGGCAAAGCCGAATAAGCCGAGAATAAAAGAAAAGCAAGATTAGGCTTGAAAGAGAAGGGTGTAAGAGATGAAAAAGATAGAGGGAGGCAGGTGTATGTGTAGTGTCGATCATGCCCCCTTCCTTACCATATTACTTTGTCCTTC